TAAGAAAGAATGAACAGAACATAATCTCTAGGGCACCATCAAAATACCAAAATAGATATATCATGAGGGAGAAAAGCTGCAGACTGAAGGCATAGAAAACCGATTCAATGAAATAATAGAAAAACATTTCCAAATCTTGGGAAGGACATGGATGACCAGAGAGTACAGGAGACAGAGTCCCAAAAAGGCAGGACCAGAAAAGAAAGTATTCACAAAGTATTGTAGTTAAAACAATAATATAGTGAAAGCATTACTAAGAGGGAAGTTTAGAGCTATAAACTTTTTGTGTACATCAAAAAAACTAAAAATAGGGCTGGGGGTATGGCTCAAGTGGTAGAGCCCTTATCTAGCAAGCTTGAGGCTCTGAGTTTAAATCCCAGTACCTCCAAAAAAATAGGAAAGTCTTAAATAAGTAACTTAATGTTACATCTTAAGGACCCAAAATTAGAAAAAAAGATATCATAAAGATCAGAGCAGAAATAAATGAAACAGAGTCTAAAAGATCCTACTGCTCCCCAAAGAAACAAAGAGTTGGTTCATTGAAGAGATAAACAAGCTGGGCATGGTGGCACAGGCAAAAGGATCACAAGTTCAAGGTCAGGCTGAACCACATAGTGAGATCCTGCCTCAAAACCCAGAAACAACAACAAAAAAGTAAAACAAAAACAAAATTGACAAACTTTTAGCTAAACTAGCAAAAGAAAAAATATGAAAAGGGAGACCTTACAACACATAGCACTACTGAAATCCAAAGGATCATTAGGGAATATTTTGAAAAACTGTATGTCAATGAATTGGAAAATCTAGAAGAAACAATTTCTGGTCACATATAACACACCAAAATTAAAAAAAAAAAAAAAAAAAGAACTGGAAGAAGACATGTCCAGAAGTAAATTAGACATTTGTGACCACTTTCCTATTTTCAAGAGAGAAAGCTGAGAAGCTGAGTGGTTGAACCTCTCAGATGGGGTGAAAAGGGCTGGTGGAGTAGCTCATGTGGTAAGAGTGCCTAGCAAGCATGGAGACCTGAGTTCAAACCCCAGTACTGCCAAATAAAACAAAACATTTGAATCAGATGGGGTGACGAAATGATCAAAAGAAACAAAAAGGAATTTGATGGATATATATTTCAGAAAGCTAGACTTATGAATGCTTTCATCATAAAGAAATGATAAGCATTTGAGGAGAGTATGTTTTTCCTCATTTGAACATCACAGAATGTATATGTGTGTGCTCACAGTGTATTATGTGGTCCTCACTCAATGTATACAATTTTTATGGTTTGCTTTTTTGTGGTACTGCTTTTTTGTTTGTCTGTTTGCTTATTTTGCAATACTGGTGTTTCAACTCAGGGCTTCATGCCTGCTAGGCAAGGTGCTCTACTGCTTGAGTCACACTTTGAACCCTTGATACTAGGATTTGACCTTATGGCCTTGAGCTTGCTAGGCAAATACTTTGCCACTTAAGCCATGCCTGCAGCCCTTTTTCCTTTAGGTTAGTTTAAGATAGGGTCTTGCTTTTTTGCCAAGCCATCCTGAGTCCATGATTTTCCTGTCTCCCTTGTAACTAGGATGAGAAGAGTATGCGACCATAACTTTTTCCCTGAGCTGGCCTTGAACTACTAGTCTCCTGATCTCTGCTTCCTGAGTAGCTGGAATGACAGGAGTGTACCACTGCACCTACACTCCAATTTTTGTTTTTAATGAATCAGTTAAAAATAAATTTAAATCAAAAATAATTTAACTGATAGATTTAACAGCATTTTAGATACAGCTGAGGTAGAGAATTAATGAACAAAAGAAAAGAAAAGGGGCTAGAGGAGTGGCTTTAGTGGTAGGGCGCCTGCCTAGCAAGTGTGAAGCCCTGAGTTTAAACCCCAGTACTGCCAGTAAATAAATAAATAAGGGCTGGTTTGCCGCTCAGTGGTAGAGCACATGGAAAATGTTTTAATCCCTATCACTGCAACAGAAAGAGAAGAAAGAGCGAGTGAGCAAGAGAGAATATAAAAGATGGAAGGATACAGTGAAAAGATATAACATAAGTATAGGTTAAAGTCCTAGATGTGTTACAAAAAAGCCATCTGGGGTCCTGCTCTACCCAGGTAGAAATCATGAGTAGACAAGAAGCTTTTCCAGTTATTCCAGGCCCTTGGCAGGTATTTGCAGGCAGCAGTAGAGCATAAGCATTTGACAGCTAGAGTGCTGCTTGGGACTCCAAGCCTCAGAGTTCCTGCCATGGCCCTTAACAGCTAGGGTGGAGGTAATGATTCTGGGCCTTGGGGTTGGGCATGAGGCCCAAAATTCCCCAGGCAGGGACCTGCAGCTGGAGGGGTCTCTCTGGGGGCCTATCTGACCTGTTGCTGTCAGTTGACTTTCACCACCTCTGCTGCCATGTCACTTTTGTTCTTTTGCCCCTACTGTTTTCCCTGGTTGCTCCTGTCAGTTTGGCTCCTGGATGGCCCATCAGCTGTGCTGGCCTGAGGCTGCACCCGCAGAGATGCCCTGCTATTATGGCAGAGTTGCCACAGGAACCCTTTGCCTGCCTCAGTGTTGCTCTGTGGGGTAGCAGTGCTACCTCAGCTGCCATTCCTGCTGTGCTGCTGTCTCTCTCACCACCACTCTTCTTCTCTTTCTTTGTGTTACCAGCTCATCAAAGGTAGGCTAGACCACTCAAGAAAAAGTTTTTATTGGGACCTAATGTTGCAACACCAGGAGAGCAGCACAGAAGTTGAGCAGCCTGCTTATATGTAAGTCAGAAAAGGGGTGTGTGTGAAAGGGGTCTGCACCAATAATGACAGTCCCCTCCTGCAAATGAAGGATTATATTTGTACCAATCATGGCAAAGTCCCAGTCACCAGTCTTCTGGGCTACCTGGAGAAGTGAGTGTTCCCCCTCTGGCCTGGGTAGAAGTGGCTGCTGTGGTGGCAAAAGTCTGGTACAAGCTGCTTTTTGGGCAGGCCTGTTGCAACCAAAGTCATGCTTTGGGTGCCGGCACAAGGCAGTCTACCTGTCTGGCTGGCAGTCCTTTGCTCAAGGCAGCTGGGGCCCTAGGGAAGGGTCTAGCAGCTGTCAGTTAGGGAGTTAAGTCTCCCAGCCCCAGTATTCCAGTACAATTAAGGAAAGAAACTTTCAGAGGGGTGCTTACAACAAAAGCTGCCAGTAACAGTGTCTTAACAGTGCTCCAACGATGCTTCACTGTAGTCAAGTTCTGGTGCCCTGGCAGAGGTGGGTCCCTACCATCTTTTAGAAGAAAAGAATAAGGAGAAGCAATGTTTTAACAGATAATGACTAAAAATCTCCCCAAACTGATGAGAGACATTTAGACAAATTTAAGGCGTTAGCCAAAATTTCCAAGTCATTCTGACCTTCTCTCTCTCTCATACTGGATTTGGACTCAGAGCTTTGCACTTGATAGGCAGGCAATCTACCACTTGAACCACCCCTCCGGTCCTTTTTGCTCTGGTTCTTTCGGAGGTAAGGTCTCACTTTTTGCCCAGGCTGGCCTGGATGGTGATCCTCCTACTTATGCTTCCTGCTGTTGCTGAGAAACAGGTGCACCACCATACCCAGCTTTTTTCCATTGAAATTGGGTCTTACCATTTGTCCAGGCTAACCTGGAACTGCAATCCTCCCCATCTCAGCCTCCCACATAGCTTGGATGACCGGGACACACCAGCATATCCAACTATTGGTTGAGATGAGGTCTTCCCTTGATCTGCTATCTCAGCCTCTCAGGGAGCTACGATCACAGACATGAACTACCAGCGCCTGGCTCAGGGGCCATATTTTTGAATATGTAATATATGACCTCAAACTGAGCATGCTCAACTCTATATGTGATAACTTTTTTCCTATTTATCGATGTATTTCCTCAATAAAAGCCTCTTGTTTCTTCAGGGAAAGGACTGCTTTGAGGATAACCTCCAGTGCTCTCCACTCTTCACTCCTCGTTGTGCTTATTGGCTTTTCACTCCAAGAGGGGAACCCTTTGCCATGGATTAAAAACTATGAAGCCTAGGATTAATAAAAAGAAATCCACACCTAGCCATATCAGCTGTCAGGCTAATTGTTTGCCCTTTTCCCCTCTTCTTGCTGGCTTGTGGAACTAGTTTTATCTTCATGCTGGTACCTTTATTCACAAGTTAAACAATTTTTGTATGTATTTGTATGAGTTATGTTTATAATCTTGAAAACTATACTTTGAATGTACAAGAAACAAAGAATTTATGAAATTATGCTTTTTCTTCTTGCAATGAACTTGCTCTCTCTCTCTTTTTTGCGGTACTGGTGAACTCGGCCTCACGCTTAGCTAGGCAGGCACCCTACCACTTGAGCCACTTCACCAGCCCTTTTTTGTGTTGGGTATTTTAGAGATAGGATCTCACAAAATATTTGCTTGGGCTGGCCTTGATCCTAGATCCTCCTGATCTCTACCTTCCCAGTAATTAGGGGTGAGCCATGGGCGCCCAGTAAGCTTTCATTTTTCTTTTCATTTTATTAAAAATAATTCTGAAGCCGGGTTGGCGGCACACACCCGTCTTCCAAATCTGGGAAGGTTGAGGCAGGAGGATTGGGAATTCCAGAGCAGCCTGGGCTACATAGCCAGACCCTGTCTCAAAAGACCATCATCAAAAGATCACAACAACAGTAACAACAACATCTGGTCACAATCCGCTTAATCTGGTCTCAATCTGCAGTTTGAATCATCCTACCCTAGTGGATTTGGGGCCTGGCGGCGTTTTGTGGAGAGACTTGTATTTTAAAAACTCCACTAATATTTAAATTTGTTTGCTGGGCTTCAGGCTTCCAGGGGTCAGATGACCTTGGCTGAGGTGGTTCGGCTCTGGCTCAGCACTCAGGGTCACTTTGGGAAACTTGCGAAAAGCCAGCAGCGGGCCGTTTGGCCTCAGCCGCGGGTTCCAGGTCCCTCCAGGGAGAGCCCCTGGGGCGAAGGCACCGATGTCGCTGGGTGGGGCCTGCCGGCCTAGGAAGCCAGCGCTGCGCTCCCGCCCACAGTTCAGAGAGAGAGAAAAGTTCCTGGGAGTCGGTGGAGGAGGCAGCCAGTGCCAGAGCGCTGTGGGTCTCCCTAAGCCACTTTGTCGCCTTCTGCCACGCCGGGGCCAGAGTGCTTCTAGCCGGAGAAGATGGCTTCTGTGTCGTCGCTACGTCCTTCTTTGGAAGGGTGAGGACTGCGACGAAAAGTGAGCAGAAAGGAGCCTGGCTGGCCTTCTCTCAGCCCGCCCCCAGACACCCCGGCCTTTGAGCCCGCCCCTCCAGTTCTGCCTCCCCGGCTGGTCTAGGTGCCCCGACTCGGATCCCAAGGCTCGGAGGTGTGGGCAGGACCCATGGCTGCGCTGGGCTGCGTGAGGCTGCGGTGGGCGCTGCTGGGCACGCGGGTGGCCAGCCGGGGCCTCTGCCCACATGGGGCCAGGGCCAAGGCCGCGATCCCCGCCGCGCTCCGCGAAGACGAGGCAGCCGCGGGGCCTCGAGCCGGTCCTGGCAACCCGCGGCGGCAGCTGCGGAGCCTGGAGGAGCTGCCCAGGATAGGGCGGCTGCGCTTCTTTTTCCAGCTGTTCGTGCGAGGCTATATTCTGCGCCTGCACGAGTACCAGGTAACCCCGAGGGGCCTTGGGACCTGGGGATCGGGGTGGGTACTGGCGCGCAGAAGCCGGATTGGAAGCGAGGGAGATGTGGGACAAAAAGTAAAGGATGCAGGAACTTAGCTCGGGGCGACTGAAGCTATGGTCGTTATTATTATTGGTGGCACTGGAGTTTGAACTCAGGGCCTCAGGCTTGCTAGGCAGGCGCTCTTACCACTTTCAGCCCTGTGGTCATACTTGGAAGACTGTAGGGAGAATGTGTAAAGTGCAGGCAGAGGGCTTTGAGCTGAAATAAGTAAGCTGGTGAGTGGTGAATCAGGAGGACACAGGGTGACTTGGAGGCTGGACTTGAGTGGACAGAGAGATCGGGCTGTTTTGGGAAGAGAAAAGCAGATGCAGATGCAGATGAACAGACTGACAACGGACATGGGAATCGCTATTCGGTTCCATGGTGAAACTGACTACCAGAGGAAACAACTTCAGGCTTCTTATTTGCAAGGTAAATTTCCCCTAGGAGAAGAAAAAAAAAAAAAAAAAAAAAAGTTTCCTGAGAAAGTGAAAGCAAAATCCTGGGGTCGCTCCAGGGGTGGGAGCATCCAGGATGGAGAGGCAGATCCAAGCCACATTGCACAGAGCCAAGTTGGGAGTAAAGGATGCATCCTTTGCACTGGGAGCTGCCTGCTCTCTCTGTTTGGAATGTTTCCAAGACTTGGGGGGGGCAAGTCAGGAGGTACTGAGGTACTTAAGAAATCACTCCCTAGCAGAGGCCCAGTTAATATCCTCTGCTGAGGTTGCTCAGGATTAGCTCTATTGAGGTAACTAACCAAAGAAATTCTAGTTGGGTTTAGGAGGAGGAAGAGGAAGCAGGAGAAAGCCTGTGTGTGTGTAGCCAGGATGTGTGGGGGTGGCGGAGTTGTTTGTTTTTTTTGAGAGAAGGTCTTGCTATATAGTGTTAGGCTGGCCTCAAATTCATCATCCTCTTGCCTCCAAAATGCAGGCGTGGTGCATGCCACCACGCCTGGTGAATGTGTGGTCTTTTAAGTGTGAACCCAAGGGCTGAGATTTAGGAGAACCTCCAAAGATCTTGGGTGATAAAAACGTGAGCTGTCCCATGGGAAATAGCATAGACCTCTCCGCTACACGTGGCTGGTAGGAATTTAAAAAGAACAGTGTTGTACATTTATTAAGCCCAGTACATAGTCCTTTTGAGGAACACCATGTGTTTCAGTGGCCCACTTTGTATCAGTTAGTATTTGTTTGGTTGGCATTCAAACTGGCTAAAATGCTGAAAGCAGCTTTAGTTTCTCATTGAATGGAAAAACTCCATTAGTCAAATGTTCTTCAGGTGTAATTTGCTCTAGAGATTTGTCTTAGTCTGTTTTGTATTGCTATGACAAAGTACCTGACACTGGATACTTTATAAAGAAAAGAAGTTGTTTAGCTCACAGGTTTTTTTGTCAGTTAATATTTGATTTTTATAATACCTGCTATGTTTGAAGAGTCAGCGATGCACACAGAATCTTCTATGAATGTGTATACCCAGTGTAAACACATGTTTTAAATATGTAGTGAAGAAGGAGGAGTGAATTCAATTACCAAAGCTTAAAAAAAAAACCCTGTTACTAGTTACACAAAGCATATAAAATATTTCTCTGAATGCATAGATGAAGATGTTAAACTCACCTACCAGCAACTGTGCAGTCTCATCCCAGTGCCAGAGGCAATGACCACACAGGATTTTATGAAGGACAAGAGGGACTAGAACAGGGCAGAGCCCTGTGGGACCCACCTCCCACCTGGGAGCCTGCGAAATGTCCTGGAGCACTCCTCTGTAGGCCGCTTCCAAGCCAGGGGCCTCCACTACTTCTGAAAGCCTCTAGTTAATTGTGGTGGCTGAAAGTTTTAAATCCCAGTTATTTAAACATGAATTAATACTGAATTTATTCCTTCTAGGGTAGGATCACACTTAATTGTATCAGTAAATTCAACTTTGTTTTTTCAAAGTAAAGGAAAAAAAAGGCTAGAACATCTGGATAGTTTCTGATAGGTTGAAATGCAAGGGAGGTTTCGTCTTTTTTTTATTGTTTTATTATTCATATGTGCATACAAGGCTTGGGTCATTTCTTCCCCCCTGCCCCTACCCCCTCCCTTACCACCCACTCCACCCCCTCCCTCTCCCCCCTACCCCCTCAATACCCGGCAGAAACTATTTTGCCCTTATCTCTAATTTTGTTGAAGAGAGAGTATAGGCGATAATAGGCAGGAACAAGGGTTCCTGGTTGAGAGAGCTTTCTTCTTTAAGGCACTTGAGAGAAAGGGGGGTGATACCCAGCCTTCACTCTGCTATGCAAACACTCTGCAAGAGTGAGTAACTCACCAGCTGTAATGTGGGGGATAACTAAGTCACCAAGCAGAGTGACTCCATGAACCTGGCCTTGACAAACACTCATTTCAGCATTCAGGCAAGTGACCGTGATCTTAGCACAGCACTTTCTTCCACTGATGTTTTCCGCGCCTTCTCACTCAGTTGTGTTCTAATAAAATTAACACAGCCAGGAAGCCAGGGGCCATGGGAGAAAGCTTCTTAAGACAGCAGGGGTGCTCTTCAAACCCACTCTCCTGTTGGTCTACACGGGCTAGTTCTTGTTTCTAACGCTGAGCCGTTTCAACAATGACTTTTCTTTTAACAGTAATGACGCTGAGGAAAAGGCAAAGAATCCTTGGATGCATTCTTGAAAAATACTTATTCCACGCTCAAGAGTTTAATCAGGTGTTCTGTTTTTGTTTAATTCTGGTAGACTTGCTACTCACTGCTGTTAGTTCACAGTTTTGGAGGCTGAAAGCCCAAGAGCAATGGCTCTATCTAATCAGCCACGACCTTTTAATACTTTTAATGGGGGACCAAGCCTCTAGCACATATACCTTTGAAGGGACAGACCATACCCATACCATAGTATTCCACTCCTGGCCTCAAAAGTTTGGGTCCTTCCCACAAGGCAGAACACATTCATTCCATGACAATAATCTTAAAAGTCTTGTTTGAGCAACAACTCAAAATCCAAAGTCTCACCTAAGACTACTTCCAGTGTGACTTCCAGCTTTATAAAAAAGGTATTATCCTCAGTATAACAATAATTAAAAAACAGTTATTTATTTCCAAGACACAATGGCAGGAAAGGAATAGGCTAAACATTCTTATCCCACAAGGGAGAGATGGGCCAAAAGAAAGGGTCACATCCCCAGCAAGACTGAAACCCAAGCCGGGTATGGTGGTACATGCCTGTAATTCCAGCACTCAGGAAGCAGAGACAGGAGCATTGTGAGTTCAAGACTAGCCTGGGCTACATAGTGAATTTAAGTTGAGCCTGAGCTTGTCTTGAGTATAGTGAGACCCTGTCTCAAGAAACCACTCAGTGGTAGAGCGCTTGCCTCACATGCACAAGGCCTTGGGTTTAATCCCAGCACCATTAAAAAACAAAAACTGAAATCCAGTAGGACAGACGTTAAATCCTAAAAGTTCTAATCTTGCATCGTGTGCACACTGGGGTGGTCTCTGGCAGCCCTTCCCCGGGCTTTGCTGGTGGCAGTCCATGCTGGTGCCTGCACCCTTCTCAGATGTGTGCCGCACAACACTGTTTGCTGTAACTTTGGGGGTCCTGTCTGTGGCTACCCTTTCATGGCTCCCCTAGGCATTTAATGGAGACTCTCCAGGGTGGTTCTTGTCCCTGTGGCAAACTTCTGCCTGGCCACGCAGGCTTTTTTTTAAATCTCGGTGACTCCACAGCCCTGCATTCTGTGATGCAGAATTAGCACCATGTGCACCGTGCCAAGGCCTTCAGCTTGCGCCACTCAGAGCAGCTGTGCACAGGCCACACCTGGGCCCATTGAGCAGTGGCTGGGGCAGCTGACAGCTGCACTGGGACAGGATGAACGGAGTCCACAGGTGGCCCTGGGCAGCAGCTGTTCCCTGAAACCATTCTGCCCTCCAAACCTCTGGGCCTGTGGTGAGAAGGACAACCTGGAAGATTTCTGGGTCACCCTCAGGGATGCTCTCCCAGTCTCTGATGCTTGGCATCTGCTCCCTCTGTCTGTAATGATATCCCAACCCTAACCCTAACCCCAGCTGCCCCTCACACACTTCCTTTGCTTTGTCTGTGAGCAAGCTGTGACTCTCCCGAATGTTTGCGCTCTGCTCTGCTTAAGTATAAATTCCACTTTTGGTCACTGCTATTGCTCTGGGATCTTACTGTATGCAGTTTAAAAAGTACTCATGCTGCAGTTTCTATGTATTGCTTATAAATTTTATTCACCAGACGCCCTAAGTCACCACCCTTAAATTTGGCCTTCTACCAAGTCCTAGGGCATGGAAATAATTCAGCGAAGTTCTTTGCTGCTTCATAACAAGGATGACCTATTCCTCATTTCCACATGAGAGCTTGCCAACCTGGCCTTTGCTGTGTGCCTTTCTATCAGCATCCTGGTCACTACACTTAGTCAGTCTCTAGATCTAGTTCCTTCCCAGTGTCCTGAGCCTTCACTAGAATTGCCCATAATGCTTTCTTTACAGCAACACAGACCTTTCCTCCACTCATTACCTAATTCCAAAGCCACTTCCACATTCTCAGATATCATTATTGCAACAACACAACTCATTGGTAGTAATATTCTTAGTTTGTTTTGTGTTGCTATGACAAAATATCTGAGACTGGATGACTTATAAAGAAATGAGGTTAAGGGGGTGGGGGCGGGGGGAGAAATGACCCAAGCCTTGTATGCACATATGAATAATAAAAGAAAAAAAAAAAAGAAACAGGAAAAGAAAAAAAAAAAAAAAAAGGAATGAGGTTAGCCAGGCACCACTGGTGGCTCATGTCTGTAATCCTAGCTACTCGGAAGGCAGAAATCAGGGGGATCTTGGTTTGAGGCCAGCCTGGGCAAATAGTTTGCAAGACCTTATCTTGAAAATACCTAACACAAAGAAGGGCTGGTGGAGTGACTCAAGTGGTAGAGTT